TAGAATGACATACAGATACACACAGACACAAATACAAATACAAATACAAATACGAATACGAATACACCTACAAAATAACAGAGTAACAACAACACACCTGTGCACCATTCCAAACAAGTAATTTTTCAAAATCAAAATTTATTTGCGTCTGAAAAATTTTATGATTTTAGTGCACTGAGTGAGTGAGTGAGAGGTGCCTGCAATGGTAACCGTCGTGTGTTACGGTTACCACCTTATCTTTACACAGACTTACAGCTAGTTATATACATCAGGGAACGTTACATACAAACATCTTATCTTCAAGACAATACCCTGTATATTTTTAAATAATCAGTGATTAACTATTTCCTTTTTGAAATTTTCTGTTAAATAAATAAGGATCAATACATATCAAACCACCAGCATTTTTAAAAATTATAAATATTAAATCTCAAGATGCCTCCAAAGAAACAAGTGAAAAAGATGGACCTTGGTACGTTCTTAAATGACGATACTTTAGGTGGCTCATGGGCTGACGATACTTTTGATATTAATGCTTTAACTGAGATCTCTACTGTTCCAACAACTGAAGGTACCAGCAGTTATCAATCTTCAAGATTTGGTGCTGATTCAAGACCTGAAAGAATTGAATATGAAATCCCTGAATCTGGTCCATATACTATTAGAATTTCTAATTTCCCTCATGAAGTTTCTGAATTAGAAATTCAAGATTTTATTGTTTTAAATTTACAAATGCAAAATCCTGAAAGTGAAATTTTAGATTTTTATGCACCAAGAGATCAAGGTTCTGATAGACTTAGAGGTTTTGCATTCATGACTTTCAAATCTAGAAAATCAATTGAAGATGCTTTAAAACTTTCAGGTTTAGATTTAGCTGGTAGATCAACTTATGTCTCTGTTGCTGCTCCTTCAAAGGGTCCTTCTAGAGGTAGTGGAATGAGAGGTCCACCTGGTGAAGATATAGATTGGGGTTCTGCAAGAGGTACTGCTACCCAAGCTCCACCTCCAAGAGATCACTCATTCAGAGGTGGTGATAGAAGAGAACCAAGAGAACCACGTGAAGACGTTGATTGGTCAGCAAGAGGTAGTGCTACACCTGCTCCAACTCCAAGAGAACATTCTTTCAGAGGTGGTGAGAGAAGAGAACCAAGAGAACCACGTGAAGACGTTGACTGGTCTGCAAGAGGTAGTGCTACACCACCTGCACCAACTCCAAGAGAACATTCTTTCAGAGGTGGTGATAGAAGAGAACCAAGAGAACCAAGAGAACCAAGACCAGATGTGGATTGGTCTGCAAGAGGAAGTGCTACACCACCTGCTCCAACTCCAAGAGAAAATTCATTCAGAGGTAGTGAAAGAAGAGAACCAAGAGAACCAAGAGAACCAAGAGAATCAAAACCAGATGTGGATTGGTCTGCAAGAGGTAGTGCTACACCACCTGCTCCAACTCCTAGAGAAAATTCATTCAGAGGTAGTGAAAGAAGAGAGCCAAGAGAACCAAGAGAACCAAGAGAACCAAGAGAGCCAAAACCAGAAGTTGATTGGTCTGCGAGAGGTACCGCTACAGCAACTCCAAGACCAGCTAAAGATTCATTCAAATTTTCAAAAGAAAATTCAAGAAAGGAAAGACCTGCAAAGGCAGAAGATAAATCTGTTGATTGGCAAAACTTAAGAGGATCAGCTGTTGGTACTATACCATCTCCAAAATCAACAACTCCAAAGAAAACTCATAACAAAAAGAAGGAAGAAACTACAGCTGCAGCAACTGATAAACCAAAGAAATCTGTGTTTGATGTTTTAGCTACTGAAGAAGATGATGATGATAGTGAATCAAAACAAAGTGGGGAAACTTTGTCTGCAGTTGATGAAATCGTTTCACAAACTGCTGATTTATCAGTTAAATCAGATGATGGTTGGGATGTCGTTAGTAAGAAGAAATGAATAAAGTTGATTTGTTAATGTATATATGTATATATGTATAAACATATTATAATATCATAATATCATATTAGGTATTTTTTTTGTTGCTTGGTTTACACATGATTTATTGTTCTGTTATGTTGACTAACTCTCATTGTTTTCTATTGTTTTATCTCTTTAAAATCGGCTTATTTTTTACTTTGTTACTTTACTTTTTTAGATATTCTTCTGTATTTTGTTTGTTGTCTTGATTAGATGTTCAATTTCACACATAATTGTTTTAATTCTTGTAATACATACATTAAACTTCTATAACTTTCGATGCGATTCCTTCACGGCTCGATTTGTGAGACCTTTTGCCAGAAATTTATATTTTCAGACGGACATCAATCATGTTTTTTGGGAGAAATCACAAGTTTAAATTATTGTCAGATTAAAAGTAAAAGAACTGTACCTCAAAAATTAAACAATATTGAATTAAAAAAATCACGGACACTATACACGGAAATAAACAAATAAGAAAATTACAAAAAAACACAAAATCATCGATTCATCACGATTAAGTAAAATGAAAAAAACAAAAAGAACATCACCATGTTCTTACCCAAAATTTACCCAATTAATTAACTAATTAATAGCTTTTATTTTTTATTCAAACGGTCTTTAATATTAATGATATCTCAGATCCACAAATGCCCAGCCTGGAGTGACATTTCTTTCTCTACGTTGACTTTCAGTAATCCCAGCTTCATCGGCAGTGGGACCATTATCATCTACATCATCAACAGCACTATCTAAAACAGCATCTCCTTCAACATCTCCTCTATTTAACCTTATTGCTCTTTTTCTTTCATAATACAGAACAACATAATGATAATAAATATCCAGTTTGGAGATTCCCATTATTCTCCAAACTGGTTTCATATACCATTTACACATCAAAAAAGACATCTTATATGCATATTTATCAATGTTGATTAGATCAGATGGATGGAATGGTCTTTCATCCACAATTTCTTTGATTGATGCACTTAATAAAGACATGTCTGGCATTGGTGGAGAAGAATAATCATCTGGTGTCATTCGCTGTGAGGATTCAGCTTCTGTTGTAGTTATAGTGATTGGTTGAGTTCCAGGTAATGGTAACGTTGGGACTCTTGGAGCTGGTGTAGCTGGAGAATTTGAATCTGGATTATTATTATCCTCTTCTGGACTAGTATTGGCAGTACCCTGTTCGTCTACAGGGTTGTATTGACCTGATCTAACTAGTAACAAACAAGCTAATAAAGTTTGAGCTTTGAATCTAGTTGATCTTGGGAAAAACAACTCTAGATTATCTGACCCACTGTTATCAAATATACTGTCTAAATCTCTTGACCCTTGAGCTCTATTCCCATTTGTACTTCTTCCTTGTGAATCTCTCATATAATAATCACGTTTACACATTGGACAACAACCTCTTCTATTGATTAACCATGGATCAACACACTCAGAATGGAACACATGACCACAGATCAAACCACGAACATCATCCTCATTTTCAAGATTATCAAGACAAATAGCACAAACACCCGAAGTGAAATGTGGATCATTGGTTGCATCTATCACTGCATTAGTTGTTTTGATCGGTTGAATTGAATCAGAGCCTTCAACTTCAACATTTGAAGTTCCTGTTGATTTAGAAGTTTCAACCAATTCTATAACTTCACAAGTAAGATCACTCTTTTTAGCTTCTCCTAAATCAACTTCATTTGCGGCACTGGCTGATTTAGTTGTTATTTCATCTTCCGATGAAGTTCGGTCGTTTCCATTTTCATTGATATTCTCACCTTGAGTCGCCCGAGGTGTATCATCATTTATTTCGTCTTCACCGTATACTAATATACCTTCATTTCTATTGATTAGCTCTTCTCGCCCTCCATTCAACCAATTGGCATATGTTTTCAAAGGGAATAGATCATCAACTTCCTCTGCAGTCAATTTTCGTTTTCTTGAATAGTTTCTTTCAGCTGCTCTTCGACCTCTCACCACTGATCTATTATTACCCATAAAGTATAAAGTTGTATCATTTTCAAAATATGGAACTATTCCATTCATGGATGCTCTACCAGTAGGTCCAATATAGAATGGATTTCTGGCATATTGTGGGGCTGGGATGTATAGACCAAACCTTGACCGCACCAGATATCTAAATGTAAAAAATATAAATAAAACAGCTATGATAACACCAACTGACAATGCAATGAAAAACAGAACTGTTGAAGGTTTACTTCCTAAAAAGCTACTTCCTCCCGATCCTTGGCTCGAGATTACTGTACTAGAACTTGATGGAGCAGTGACCGTAAAACTTTCAGTGCTAGTGACAGTAGCAGACATTATATATGTGTAATGTTAAAAGCAGCAACTGACTGCACAGATAAAATGATTTGAGAAAGTTTATATAAAAATACCTCCCTTCGTTAATGATAAGAATACAAGTCTTTGATTCGGGATTAGATAAGTTTTGATAACAGCAAATTTCTGTGGCGAATCTCAGATCGCAGCTTCAATTTCTAAATTTGAACCCTACTGTATGTACAGTTATAGTGGTAGCAAGAACAACTATACTATAACAGCAACCGCAATAAGAACTGAATCAAAGATAAAGATGATGGCTTCTTTACAACGTCAAGTTGCCTATGAAAACTCTTCAATATAACAAAAGATTTACGACAGGTGGTGGAGTTGAATCGCAGCATGGTTGCGGGAAGAGATTAGACTTTGCGGCAGCTAATTAACCAAACCAGGAGACATAAGGCTGCGTGCGACGCCTCAAGAATCAAGATACAGGAGATGAAACGTCGATTGGGACGGTGTTTCGTCAACTTTTGACCACCCCCACCGGGGCGCGCGGCGTGGGCCTGGGCGAGGCTTGTTGCTTGCGCGATACGAAAAGATACGATGTAATACGATTGGTTTGTTGATTATGTAATTTTAGCCTTGATTCAGTACTAACATTACTAGTATGAAGAATTAAAAAAAATCATTACAAAAAATAAAAATAGGGAAAAAACTCATTAGCAAACGTAAAAAAAAAAATATGTGAGCTAAGAGGTTCGAACTCTTGCATCCGAAGATATCACGGCCTAAACGTGACGCCTTAACCACTCGGCCAAACTCACGAATTTTACCTAATTTTGCGGCTAAAACATTTATCATCTAGTAAGAATCAAACCACCACCAAGATCTTCAACAGTCCCGCAGAAATCAAGACTCTTTAGTCTGATTTCTTGAAGATAAAACAATTTGATTTTCTTGCACAAACTTATAATGATTAAAAAACAAAAGAAAATGGTTATGAATTTTTGCTTTCCCCTTATTGTCATAAACTCCAAAAAATATTTGCTTTTCGGTTCAATTTTGGAAATACTTTTTTTTTTTTTTTTCAACGGCGAATGAAAGGAATTTATTGAACTATATATGAGGTTCAGTCCAAACCTGTAAACTATAAAGAATTAACCTTCCATATTCCATGCGGAAAGGATAAAAATCTTCTTAAAAGTAAAAAACCTAAAAGAAAAAAGAAATAAGATAGAAATTGTAGATAAGTATAGAGAAAATGAAAAGTAAAGGACAGAACAAAGAGCCGAAATATACCTTATAGAGGAGAAGAATTCCAAAAGCCATACTTCAAATTAAAACTCAAAATCAAAAAAATAATAACATATAAAATTTTTAAGAAAATTAAAAAACTCCTTCTTTCATGAATTTGAAAATAATTTCATACAACGTCCAAAAGTTTTTTACCCCTCAAAAAGTTATAATGGTCTTAAATCACATTTTATCACAATCACCAGACATTCTGTGCCTTCAAGAATGTGACATATCAACA